TACTTACAGACATTGATGAGGTCCCCTCTCAGCTGTCTTTTCTCAAGGCTAAACAGGCCCAAGTCTCTGAGCCTTTCCTTTTAAGAAATATGCTGCAGTCCCTTAATGATCTTTGTAGCCCTCCACTGGACCTGCTCCAGGAGCTCCACGTCTCCCCAGTACTGAGGAGCACAGAACCGGACACAGCACTCCAGATGTGGCCTCACCAGGGCTAAGTAGAAGGGCAGGATCACTTCTCTCAACCTGCTGGCAGTGTTCTTCCTAATGCATCCCAGAATACCCTTGGCCTTCTTGGCACTCAGGGACAGCTTGTAGTCCACCAGGACACCCATATCCTTCTCCACAGAGCTGCTTCCCAAGCAAGTTGGCCCAGCCTGTGCTGGTGCCTGGGATTCTTTCCCCTTTGAGACAGGGGGACCCTGTTTGTTGCCAGCAGGCTCAGTGTTGTGTAAACTGACCCATGATCAAACCCCTCAAAATTCTGTGGTAACACTAGTCTTGAAACCAGGTGTTCTGTGCATGATTTTCTTGTTTCTTGCCCTGCAACTCCATTTCATTAAGCTGTAATCTTGTCCGGTCTGAAAATGCCCTGTCTGTTCTTCTGATGTCCTGGTATCTCACAGCTTGGTCTGATCAGGCTTTGTTGATGGCACATCTGCTGCTGTTCAGAGCACAGTGCTGATTCAACTGCAGCACAGCCAGGTTTGGCATAATTTTCTCTCTTAAAATTAAATATATTAACATTTGAAATTATATTATTCTGTATCACTCACTTAAAAAGATGAGAGGAAAAACCATAATTGGCTAAATTATGTTGTTCAGCTGATGCCTGATGGTGTGGGGATGACTAGGGACATACATGCTTCCCTGTTCTGTGTCTTGAGAGCATTGTCTCTGTCCTGCAGGGTTCTTAGGGAGACATTTGTGCAAGCAAAGCTACTTTTGTTGTGTGTGTGGTTTTTTAGTTTTGGGGTTTTTTTATTACTTTATTGTTCATTTGAAGGTGAACTGCAGTAATGGCTTTGGCAGGGAAATGTTTTCTCCTGTTTTTCCAGATATATATCTATGCCTCTTTTTCAAACTCTACATTATCCTTGGTAATTTTGTTGAGTGATATTCAAGCTATTCAAAAGCTATTTTTACTATTCAAAGATTGTGATACTGACTTGTGATATTTTATGCCAGTCATGTCACCTGTAGCCACTAAGTTTAATGCGCTTCCCAAAATTGTCTGGTGGTGACCTTGTTCCTAAGGGTGTTGCCCGTTCTAGTTAAAATATGCAGAGTATTTTCATGTTCTGAGTTTCAGGGTGGCAATGGGCCATATCAGAGAGATTTGAGAAGACTCTTTGTTTCTTCAGAGCTTGTGAATCCACGTATGCATTGAACTGTACAGACTGAGGAAGCTGTTGTGAAGGAACCAAACTAAACCTTTGTTCCCCAGCCAAGGACAGATTAACATTTGTATTAGCATGTTTTAGACAATGGATAGCTTCATGTCTGAGGTCATGAATTTTTTAAAGTAGCCATACTGTGTCACATTTCTTTTTGATCTGCGCTTAAATTTTCATTTACTTCTATGTGTTGCTGGCTGAGGGCCCCTAGTTTGCTATCATGAGAAATGGTTGCTGAATTAGATTTGCTTTTTTTCCCAGCTCTGAAAAGATGTGCATTATCAAAGTGGTTGTTTGGTTCAGAATAAGAGAGGAGATAGTTCTGTAGGGAATACGCTTAGCAAAGCAATGCCATAAATAGGTCTTGTGTCAGTGTTTGCTGTAATGTCTTGATATGTGTCATCATGAATTATATATTATTTCAGATTTATCACTTCTTCCACTGATAAGGGACATTGCTTCTTTGAGTGAGTTTTCTTCATGGCTTAGAAGATTTACTGATACATTGAAATTCCCTGTATTGGAGATTCAGATGAACTTTGGAAACTTGAGATAAGAACTATAAATCTGCTCTAAACTAGGAAGCCATTTCTCAAAGTGTGTATTTATTGACAGAGTTTGCACTAGCTTATTCTTCTGCTTCTCATTTGTGTGCATCAGAAGAGGGTTTCTTTTCAACAGTATGAACAAAAAAAATGAAAAACTAAATGTGGGTCATACTATATATATATGTGTTCTGGGGTAGACAGCTTGATTTAATTTAAACACTTTATGCAAAGTTGGCTTCACTTGGGCACATTTGAAAATAAGCTCATTTGGTGGATGGTGTAAGGGCATCAGGCAGGGAAGCTGCTATATCAAAAAAACCCAGCTCCAATTTTACATGGAAGGAGACCTAGTAAATCCTTGATCTAAAAATCTGACCTGCCAAAACCTAACCTGCAAGAACTATTCAAAGTCTAGCTTGCATGGGAGAGCAAATGGGACAGTATTAGACCATGTGACCTGCCACTGGATCCCCAACAGGACATTGTACCTGAGGGGGTACCCGTGTAAGTGAGACCCTGAGCAGATTTGTGCAAGGAGATTCTGAAAGTTGTGGTGTAAAATTACTTTTCTTTCCTAGTATTAGTAGGATTGTAACCAGTATAAAGCTACTGGAGATGATATACCTGAACTTGATTTTTGAAATCTTACACTTTTAAAAAATCTTTAGCAAAGATTGAGCTAGGGAAGTGAATGATTAAAGAGTATCTTTATTTAGGAGCTGTTTTTCTCTGATCCCAGCTGAGTTACATTTTTTTTTACCTTCTTCTAACTCCTTTTATTTTATAAAATATTGACACAGAAATTGCCATTGAAATTTTATAATAAAATTTCATAACAAGCAGCTTGGATACAGAATCTGTCTTCTGTTCAGGTCTGCTTTCATCCCATTTTATGGTTCAACTGAGTTAAAGATAAGACTCAGATGATTTTCTCTGGGGACCAATTAGATCCAGATGGAGACTTCTTGGTATTACTTCCCTGTCTTTACCCAGGGGCAGATTAGGAGCTGGTTTACCCCATTTTACTGATACAGCCATGAAGTGAGTGATAGTTTCACTTTTACCACTGCAGAGGTGCTTTGTATTGCTGTGATTTCATCTACTGTGTTAGTTCTGGCCACTGAAAAATGTGGCAAAATCAGGTTTTAACTTTGTTCTTATTGCCAAAATGAAAGCTCTTTCAGACAAGCCTTAAGACACGATCCCAGTATTAAAGCAGTAAGTCTCCCTCTCCCTTTGCCACTCCTTCTCCCCTAGGCACTCAATCATTTTTCAGCTGAAATGGGCATTAAAACTTGGAGCCACATTGCAAAATGCACATACAGAACAGAGGGATTCTCCATTACAATTGTGGGATAATTCAGATAAGTCATCTTTGATCCAGTTATACAGTGGGGAGGGATAGGCAGAAATGTGCTGTATGGGAGTGGCAAGAAATTCTCAAATTTAGCAGCTGATAGTATGAAGAAAAAGAACGTAGGAATACTTCACCTACCCCCAAGCTACATCCAGAGCTTAAAATCCAAAGTTTTCAGATTCTGGCAATTTATCTATGAGACTTGCAAGGACAATCAGTACTGATTAAATATTGAAGCAATCTAAATCAAGATAGCATCACTTCCTGTGCTTTCTAGTTACTAAAGACCTGTGTCTCCAGCAGCAGTAGCAGGTCCATTGGCATCTGTGCAAACTGTCCAAGGAAAGCACCAGTAGCTCTAAGCTGCTGTTGTTTGAGTGCAGACTCCCTGAATGCATCTTGATAATCTTAGAGATAAGCTGAGTCCTACCTGTCCAGTTTGGTGTGTGTTGCATCTGGTCATCTCCCCCCAGATGTGAGGTTAGTGCTGTGTGTTGGTGTGTGTTGTGGGCTGTTGCAGTGCTTGTGGAGTCCAGGACTGTCTCTACATGTAGATCTCTCCCAGTTCAAGAGGCCTCTTAGTACCATAAAGTTTAGGATCAGGTGGGTTTTGGATCTCAAAATAACTTCACTATTTGCTGAGACTTCCTAACTGCCAAAGTTTGGATGAATGGAGGTTTTCTGATTTTATTTGAAGTGTCAGGTTCATACTGAGGAAGGTGCCAAACTGGAAGGGAGAGACTGAATCTTGGACAGTCATGATTAAACACCCAGTTTGCTGCTCAGTTGGGGATGAGTAGTAATCTTAGAGTGATGGGACACCACTACATGGAAAAATGCTGATGCCATCTTTTAATACAGTAAGAGCACTTAGATGGTTCCATGTTATTAAATGCTACTGAATGATAGACAAAGTAAAGAAGTTTTGATATTTTAGTGTCTCTCACTGAACTTACAAAGCAAGAATGGTGAAGCTCTTTGGAGCTTTAGATCACACACTGACTGGCTGCTGGATCAAGAGGAATTCATTTCTGGCTACAGTAGGTGCTGTAAGAAGCAGACAAGGATGTTTTCTTTCTCCAATTCGTTATAGAGGATGAAAGCACTCAGTGATGTACAGCAATGAATTAGACCAGTGACGAATTTCTATGTCTGTCTGAATATGTGGAGTGTATAGAAATGGGAGCAAAAAAAAATCTTTCTTTTCAGCCCCCTCCCCCCACCCCTTTCTTTGGGGGAGTGGGGAGGAACTGTGGTTTTGTGGGGGTTGTTTTGTTTTGCTGCAGATCAAAACCTAAGTGAATTTACAGGGATGTCTTTTGAGATGGTCTTCTCCCAGGCATCCCAGCTCAGACTGAGAATAACTTGAAACTGCTTTTACTTTTTTGTCAGACTTTTTGACTGTGATTCTGGCAGGAGACTCATGCAGATGCAGTGGTCTGTCTGCATAGAGCTGCAAGCAATATCAGGACCTGTATTGTTTCATTTTGTCTTCCATAATTGGAAATAAATCCTCTAGATTGAAAATAAAATGTATGGTTTGTTGCATATGGGGGAAAGTCTGACCAATGTAATAGTGTTGTATTTTTATATTTGCTGAGATGAATTGATTCACTTTCTTGCATTTCATTTGCAGAGCTACTTTCCAGCTCTGCTCAGCTGGACAAGATGAAGAGAATGGCATCCAAGTAGGAATTTTCTTACCCAAATCTGTAAGCTGTTTTCAGCATTGCTAATGTGCAGGCTGCTGTTTTGTTCTGACATAGTATAGGTGAGTTTAAATTAAGAAACCTATCACTGAGTTTTTGATGGCATAATTTGTTACCCTAAATTTTAGTGTGTTGTATTTCTTTGCACCAAGGCTGGTTTTTCTTCGACTTCATGCCAATACAACTGTCCAGGGTTCACCCACCAGTATTTAGTTTGGTGAGAATCAGCAAAGTGCCTGTTTTTCCCCTAATGCAATGCATATATTGACCTTTCTAGTGTTTTAGTAGCACTGATGCATTTGTCTGAATCTTGATATATGCAGAGAGCTAAAGGTCTTGTGTATGAGTATAAAACACCCACAACTGCTCTAGGCTTAATCTCTTTGCCCAGCAAGGTGTAATTTGCATGTGTAGCCCACTGGCATGAGTGTAATTTAGGTAACCTGTGTCTGATACAGAAGGTGTGAATTATTATAGCCACTAGAAACAAGCCTTAGTACTTTATTCAAGTTGGTGCTTGACATGCTTTTAGCTATGGAGTTCCCTAGTGTACTGCCTGTGGGTGGTGGTTGTCTATTGCTGTTGGATATTTTTATAAGCAGAGTACAAAAAAAGTATTTTTTGAATGCTACTTCAGTTTTTGCAGTAATGAACTGAAACCTGTGAACATCAAGTGAGGGCACCACTGATGTCCCAGCAGTTGTGCAGACTGCCCAGGGGGATGCACCTGAAGGATGCTCTAAGTGTCTGCAGGATTCGAAGTAGACTTGGCTGCTGCTTGCCCAGCTCAGTTTGTGGGCAAACAAGCTGTTCCACATGTCCATCTCCCTGCAGGAGTGCTTTTAATGCTGTTAGTTTCTGGAGTGCTTGCAAAGTTCAGGGTGCCTTTGCAGGTAGGTCTCATTCAACTGTAGGAATCTCTCTGCCCGCATGAAATTTAGGACTAAGGCTGGGCTTGTTTCCTTCTTAAAATGAAGACTTGGAACCCAAGATGTGACTGTTGCAACAGACCAAGCTCCAGTGACTGTCCTTGCTCAATCACTATTTACACAGAATGGAATAATTTGGCTGTTTTGCAGCAGGCAATGTGGGAAGAAGGTACCCTCTGCATTTGTAGATTACTTGTTTTATTTTCTCTCGCTGTGGTGATGCTCTCTAGTGTTATGTAAAATATCAGTTCATCAGACAGAACCCACAGGAGCCAGGGAAGTTCAAAGCACAGTTACTTTCAAGAGACTCCCTAATGCCTTAAGGGAGTAAACTTTGGCAGACGTTGTAGGTTTACTGTGTCCCTAGTCAAAAAGTTGTTGCTGTTTGGCATGCTGATGGGAGTATCCTTGAATAAACATAATACAATATTTACACTCTGATTAAAAAAAAAAAGTCAAATACACTGTTCAGAGAAAAAGGCTCTGATAAAAAGAAGTGGGGTGTTTTTTTCCTAAAGCTTTCTGTTTTGTTATGTTTTGTATTTACTACTATTGTTGCATGGCCATGGGAATATAAACTTGTAAACTCTCTAGACTTAGGAGGTAACACTTTTCATATTTCACTGAGAGATTTGTAAAACTGAGTCCTTCCAAATGTGTTCCCTGAATATGGATGTTATATGCCAAACGCCTGATTCTGTGTGAACCATGGTAATGGACTACTTTCCTCCTCTGTTGTGCCAAGCTTTTTTGTACTGTTTGATGCATCTTAAATATTTTCTCCATTTACCCTTTCTTGAGCTCTTGTTGTAAACAACTATGTTTATAAACCTACCTTAGGACTAAGGATAAGCATAATAAAGCTAAAAGTGCAAATTTCCATAACTTGCAAGCTAAAAGCACAGCAATGTGAGGCATTCTGACATCTCATGAATGTTGACATGATGGTCTTAGATTAGGATTCATTTACAAGAATGACTTACTTTAATCTTTGCATCACGGGAGTGGAAGTGTCATGCAGTGAGGATTTTAAGAGGTCTTGTATTTCCTGCTGTTGATCTTTCTGCTCTAAAGGCCACAAAGCAAAGACTCTTATTTTCATTCGTGCAGAAGGTGCTGATTTATGTGCCTGTATTACTCTCTGGACAACAGGAATAACGATGCTAAGGCTAAGAAAGAGGACGAAGCGTCCCTGTGGCGAGTACCGCGTCACTGTGGGTCTCCGGGCGGTGCGAGGGAGCTGTTTGCACCCGTAGTGGGGACCCCGGGCTGTGATTTGGGGCCCTCCTGGCACTGACACCTGCAGGTGGCAGCACCTTCCTGTTCTATGGGATGCGCTGCCAGTGCCTGGCTTCCCAGTGTCACTGGGAAACTGAAAATTAAAAACGTCTTCCTACCCCCTTTTTAAGGTCAACATTCTCCTTTCCTACGATGTAAATGTGAGGCAGGACTTGTTTGACATCTCTGTCAGACTGGCTTGTTCTTTGTCTATTCTCGTTAAGCGTGGCTTTTTCCTTTTGTTCTGGGTCAGTTTTTCTCTTTGTATTTTAATCCACTCTGTTGTCAGACTTCCAAAGTCTAAGGTCTGTTTGAAGGTAGAAGCAGGGAGTTGGAGAAGGGCTCACTGAAATGTTGTACTGACAACTTGGCAAGGAGGAGCAATTAATGGGTATTGTTCATCATTTCTACTGCTGTTTGAATACATGTAATGTTGTTGGACCCGGAAAAGGTCCAAAATTGCTGGAAACAAAACAAGTGATGTTTTGCCTTTTAACAATGTCATTCTGATTTCATTGGGATCTTCCTTCTCTGAATTAAGGCTGTTGGAAGACAGACATTGTTATCAACTTGAATAATAAATGTGTTCCATTAATATATGAATATTAATAAGAGCAATTAAATAAAAAGTCTTAAATTTGTTCTAGCAAGATAAAAAGCCAACAGAGCAATAGCAAAACAGTGGGATAAACCAGAACAGTAAGAGAATTAGTTCTAGAAAATACTGAGAGAGGACTGAGGATTTTTTTTAATCTAACTGCATTAACTGTTATTAAAATTAGGCTGCTTTTTCACTAAAAGATGAAATCATGTCTCTAGCTTGTCTTGAGGGAGAACACATAACACTTATACCATCAGGGCACACTCTCATAAGGATCATCTTCCAGGGCAACTGCTGCTGTACCTCACGGCTTGGTGTTTAAATTGGAGTCTGCACGAGGATCGAGAGTAGGCAGTGGCCAGAGACAGAGGGGATGGAAAGATACTCACATGACTATTCACAATAAGCCAAATCAACCAAGGCAGAGATGGAAGCAGGTGTCCAGTGTCTCTTGTGTTGGCTTTCTCTGCCCAGGGTTTCCCTTTTCATGGAGGATTTACAGCTATGCAATTAGAGCAGTCTTGCACTGCACGAAGCAGCTAGAGAGGTATTCAGTCTACTGTGTTTCTCTGCTGGTGGTAGGTAAAGTCACTGTTCCAGAATGACACTGGCAATATTGCTTCAGATAATGCTGTAGCTTTATCTGCCTGGCTGCTGCCCAGTATCTGCTGCTTATCTCAGCAGCAATTTCAGACTGCTTCTCTAGATTTGCCCGTTGCAGTGGAAAATGAGGCCCATGTGTGTTCTCTATAGCTGTATCATGGATTGTATCACACATACTAAATCCTTCCTCAAAAGGAATCTGAACAGTACCCTTTTCTTGTGTGAGGGATCCATAATACTCAACAGCTTTTCTTCTGTTAGATGAAACTAAGAAATGCCACAATTCTGGATGTCATGTTCCTTCATAACATGGAAGATCAAAATACATTGTTCATACTATCAGTAAGTAGCAGTACATTTGTGACAATGACAGGTTCTGCCAGCAAAATTCAAGTGCCATGCCTGCTAGGAAGCTGAATGGTATGCAACAAAACACTGGTTGTGGATAGGAGGCACTTCTGTCTAATGCAATTTAAACTAGGCTGTAACAGATTTGAAATCTGCCTCCAAACACAGACTGTAGAATTCTTGGGAGGATGATTAAAATAGTAGTTCACTCATCGTGTTTGTGTTTAAAGCCTCTTATTCTGATGTCTTCAAACACACTATGAAAATGTTTTGCTGTAGTCTTCATGTTCAATTACCATCATCTGCCCTGTTCCACACCTCTTGTGCATGTAACTTTGATGTGAATTACCAGAATTATCCTGCGTGTGCACACGTCCTTGTTAAAATATGTGGGTCAGTGCTGCTGTCTCCTCTGCTAACAGCCCTGATTCTCATCTCTATCAACTGCCCTTTCTAGAAATCGAAATAATACCCCTGGCCAGTTTGTGTTGTGCTTAGAAAGTACATTACGCACGAGGATGTGTCCTGCCACAAAGAATTGTCATTGAAGTTAACATGATACCATATGCAGTTTCTGAGGGTTTGCTTCACTCTCTGTTTGCAAGGCATTTTTTTCTCTCCTACGTACACTGATTGTTGATATCTCTTCTAGAACAGAAAACAAACTGCAAGGTACTAATTTTCCTGTTTAGTGGTGAGGTCAGTGTAAAGGTGCTTGACAAGTGAAACCCTCTCCTGTCATGTTAATGCAGTTGTTGAGAGCGAACCCCTGTAGGCACCTTAACGACTCCCTATGGAAAATGGAGGTGCAGAGCCTGGGCTCCTCCTTGGTCTTACAGTAATAGTGCAATGATCCTTCTGTTCACTGTGTAACTGTGTGAAGATGTCCAGTAGTGGGACTCCATAGGGTTAAGCTACAGCTTGTCATGATCTGATTCAGGCTGGAAAGCAGTAACAAACAATACTATTGATGAATTACAAGTTATCTTCAACCAGGAGAATTGTTATTTGTCTACTAAAATTAGCAAATCTGCTAGACTTACCTTCAGTTTCTCTACCTTGACTCTTAAAAGCTCCTAGTACCCTCCAGAAACAGTAGTATGTGGGCATGCAGTTAATTCTTGAAGAATTTAAGTAGTAATTAGCTGTGGTTATTTGAACATCACTGTTCATGTCTAGCTCCTATTTATCAGACATGTTGAGTGGAGAGCAGAAGATGCAACTGTTTGATGATGAAAAGAATAAAGGTTTGGGGAGAATAATACTTCAGTGTCCTGCAGTCTCCCTCTCCTAGCTCTTTTAA